AGAGAGAGAGAGAGAGAGAGAGAGAGAGAGAGAGAGAGAGTTATCGAACCACATACCGAGTCAAGCAACACAAGAAGTATCGCAGGGTATTGGTTGGATGTTTGGCAGTTGGAGTACATGGGATTAAAAAGTTGAAAGAATCCTCACCGAGTGCTCTTCAAAACTCATAACCAGGTCACGGTTCCGTAATTCCCAGATGCGCACGTCGCCTGCTTCGCCACCACTTACAAGAAAGTGTTCTCCCTTCGCAAGCGCTATGGCTGTCACAGCCCTAGCATGTGCATTTGGTATGCTCCAGAGCATTTTTCCACCTCGAATCGCGTGACACCGTAGGTATCCATCATCCCAACCACTGAGGAGGGTTGACGAAGATGCCACCACACAGAGGGCCATTCCTACCCTCTCCACCACCTGGAAAACAAGGGGTATCATTTGACATCTTGAGTACTTATACTTACAAGGGGTATCATTTGCCATCTCATTAACTATACCCCGTTAATCACCCACCTTGTGCATAACAATACCCTCTTGATCAACCAGCCACCTTGTGACGAGTAATGATACCTTCCCCCCCCCCCTTAAACCTCCGCAAGCACACCACCCAGGAAAACTTGAGAATCGAAAACGAGTGATTCCGAACAGTCCGGATGAACAGTGCTACCGGATCAAAATGGCTGGCGGCGCCAGCCAACAGGAAAAAATACTAAAATAGACACCGCACTCGCACATTTCGGCATCAGGCTTCAGTGTGACAACATTCATCCTCGTGTACTCCGACTGTCAAACATCCAACCAGTGTGGACTCAGCAACTGAGCATATCCAGTCCACACTGTAATGATACCTTCCCCCCCCCCCTTAAACCTCCGCAAGCACACCAACCAGGAAAACTTGAGAATCGAAAACGAGTGATTCCGAACAGTCCGGATGAACAGTGCTACCGGACCAAAACGGCTGGCGGCGCCAGCCAACAGGAAAAAATACTAAAATAGACACCGCACTCGCACATTTCGGCATCAGGCTTCAGTGTGACAACATTCATCCTCATGTACTCTGACTGTCAAACATCCAACCAATGTGGACTCAGCAACTGAGCATATCCAGTCCACACTGAAAGAATCCAGTCCATACGTGAGGTCACATACATTCGTTACCACTCAGCAATTGAGCATATCCAGTCCACACTGATTGACACAATGAAGTACACAAACTCAGTTTCCTTCAATGCAAAACCACAGCCTCAAGAGAATGCTCTT